TTTTTTTTGTAGGTGATAATGTTGAAGGTTTTACGATTGCAATCAATCATTCTGGTAAATTATATAATTTATATCAACTTTAAGTAGAACATTTAAAAAGGTATTATATGTTCAAATGATTGAATTCCGTATGACAACTATATAAAAAATCTTTTCAATGTGTTAATAAAACTTTGTAACAAAGGCTTTGATTTATAAAACAATGTCAAAAAATGTCATATATCTATATTTCTAAATTTTACTTTTTCTTACAATATACAAATAAAAGCATACGACAATTATCATTCTTTCATTATTCATTTGTTTGATTTATTAATATTTTACTTTTGTATGAATATTTAGTTATTATATCAACATATATCACTTAATTTACTAATAAGCAATTATTACACATATAGCACATCAATCAAATTTTACTATAAGTTTAATTTTTATGTGTTTGTGTCCAGAATTTCAATTAATGTACTTATGGTGTATTATGTCGCTTTCTAATGAATTCATGAAAAATTATTACTATAGATTAGTAAATACATGTTGTTTGTCTTATTTCCAAAAAAAAAAAAAAGGTTACAAATGATACAATATAAATTACAAATTAATAGTTTATAGGAAATTTAGCATCGTTTTCGTACAATGACTCTGCAATTGCATCTTATGATTGTCTAATGTTTGGGATTGTTTAACTATTAGTTGCATCATAAGTATAGAACACCAGTAATGTTGTTGAGAAACATGAATATCTCTATGAGTTGTGCAACAAAACTCGATTGGTTGTTACAAAGCTCTGTGCTCATGTCATTGAGTGTAAGATCTTGAATGAAGATCATGCGGGCGATAAGGTGTTAGTTCCTCGGGGTGACGCTTACTCCTTCCAATGTAAGGATACCTTCTAAGTTTCAACGAAGACAGTTCCCACTTATAGTTTCTTATGTCATGGCGATAAATAAGAGTCAAGGGCAATCATTATCATACGTTGGTCTGTTTTTGAAAAAAGAAAATCAATGTTTAGCCATGATCAGTTGTATGTTGTTGTTTCCTGCGTTACTAACCGCCGGAGTTTGAAAATATTAGTTTGTGATCATGACGATTTGCCGAAAAACAAAACCAAGAATGTCGTGTGCAATGAGGTGTTTAATAATTTATAAAATATTTTATTTGCCATTTTTTTCCAAACACGTGGATATACAATCACCACTTACTATTAATGGAAAGTTTAGAAAAAACATACGTGAATTTTTAGTTACAAAGTATGAATCCTATTTTTTTGGTAACAAATTTGAAGATTCTTATGGCAAAATTTGAATCCCATTTTTCGTATAATATTTTATTTTTTACCAAATTAAATCATATTTTTTTGGTATCAATTTTGGATATTCTTATGCAAAAAATGTGTCAATTATTTATGAAAAAAATTTTAAATCCAAATTAATTTAAAAATCGTGCAAATTGGATACAAATTTAGGAAACAAATAGTTGTATAATTCTTAACCAATTCTTCCAATCTTATTGAATAATTTTTTCTGTCTAAAAAATGTGTAAATTGAATAAAATCACATGCAATTTTTATTTTAAATTAAAACTGATATTTGGACGAGATGTACATTCAAAATTGCGTCCACTTTTTTTTGGTAACAAAAGCAGTTCATCTTTGATATGTTAAGTCACCTTATTCAATTATTTAAGAAAAAATGGGTGCAACATTTCAAAATTTAAATGCATCGATTTTTTTGGATTTTAATATTTCTTTGAACCATGTTTTATCGAGATTTTGGTAAGTTCATGGGATTTTTTTTTTTTTTTTTTTTTGTCGGTTAAGTCCATATCATTTCCTTTAGGAAAGAGACAGTTGCATATTAACAAATTATTTCAATTTTTTATTATAATTATTTTCAATTCAATTTGTTTGGTACAAAAATTGGTGCAATGTTAGGAAAATATGGTCGCATTTTTAGGAAAAATTGATGATTTTTTTGTTTGGTTTTAAAAAAATATTCAGATCAATTTGTTTGACAAAAAAATCGATTCATTGGTAGGAAAATCGATTTTATTTGCAAGAGTAACTAATGATTTTTTTCAATTTTCTTAATTGAAATTTAAAATTAGCTTTAAAATAAATAATAGATGAAAATTCCTAAAAATATCTACTTTTTTTCTACTATGATTTTGTTTACTAAATAAGATCCTTTAATTTTTTAAAAATTGTTGACTAATAATTAATAACTAGTACAAACACCCGTATATTACACGGGTACTTGTTAAAAAATTATTCAAAAATTAATGAGAAAATTAGTGAGAAAATTATATTAAATTTAGTTTACTTTTTTACAAAAAAATAAATATATTACTATATATTTTAGAATGATATGTGTTATTTATGACTTACATGTGTTATATTATATTAGTTTTTATAACTTATATCATATAACTACTTGAAATATAAATATATCAGTTGATAAATAATTTTTTTTTCTAATTAATATTAAAAATAATTTTATATTTTAATGTGGCCGATTTTCCCTCTTTTGCAATCAAGGGATCTAAAGAAAAAAGATAGACTACACTAAATTAGTGGCATAAAACTTGCAGATGGATCCCTATATAGCGCAAATAATTAGGTGTGCCCTGGCATACCTTGCTAGGTGTGCCAGGGCCGAAAGTGAACGCACGTAAAAAAAAAGAGTGACTTTAAATTGAAATTGTTGTCCAATTTATTCTAGTCCACGCGTAGAGAGAGGACAAGGTAAGTGAGATAAGGTAAGTATTGTTTAAATGACATGTGTCTTATTTTTATAGGTTAATGAATTTTATATATCATATTAAATAAATTAAATTATCAACTATATTTTATATTAAAAAATAAAAATAAAAATATCAAAATTCATAATTTTTCATTCTCTACAAATAGAGACCACATTTGATAGATTTTGGAATATAATTAATTTATTATTTTTTATAATTAATTAATGTTATTAGAATATGATGACGCAAATCTATAATAAAATGAACATGTTACATAGTAAGATGAACATGTTATATAATAAGATGAACATGTTATAGAATAAGATGAAAATGTTACATATTTACAAAATAAGGTGAACATGTTGTAAAATAAGATGGATATGTTACATAATGAAATGAACATGTTATAAAATAAGAAGAACATGTATAAAATAAATAAATAAAAAAGATGAACATGTTACATATTTACACAATAAGGTGAACGTGTTACAAAATGAGATGGACATGTTATAAAATAAGATGAACATGTTACATAGTAAGATGGACATGTTATATAATAAGATGAACATGTTACATAGTAAGAAGAACATGTTATATAGTAAGAATGTAAGATGAATATGTTATATAATAAGATGAAAATGTTACATATTTACAAAATAAGGTGAACATGTATAAAATAAGATGGATATGTTACAAAATGAGTAAGATGAACATATTATAAGATGAACATGTTATAGAATAAGATAAACATGTTACATATTTACACAATAAGACGAACATGTTACAAAATAAGATGGATATGTTACAAAATGAGATGAACATGCTATAAAATAAGATGAACATGTTACATAATGAGATGAACATGTTACATAGTAAGATGAATATGTTATATAGTAAGATGAATATGTTATAGAATAAAATGAAAATGTTACATATTTACAAAATAAGGTGAATATTTTTGGGAGGTTTGGATGGCATGAGGTGGAGACTTACATCTTCGGGTGCATTCTCTATGTCATCAGCCTGGGGAGAAGTGAGGTCGGGCAACCGGCCAAACCGCCTCTTCGGGGCCATATGGACCGACCTTCTCACCCCGACCATTTCCGTCTTTTTGACTCGACTATACTATAATTTAACTCTATTATACTAAGTTTGACTCGACTATACTAGAATTTGACTCGATTATACTAAGTTTGACTCGACTGTACTAGAATTTGAATGGATCATACTAGAATTTGAATTGATTATACTAGAATTGAATTGATCATATTAGAATTGAATCGATTATACTATAATTGAATATATCATACTAGAAATGACTCGACTATACTAGAATTGGCTCGATCATACTACAATTGACTCGAGTGTGCTAAGTTTGACTCAATTATACTAAGTTTGACTCAGTTATACTTGGTAAAATGAATATGTTACTTTGTAAAATGAATAAGTGTCTTGGTAAAATGAACATGTTCATTTGAATGTGTTACTTTGTAAAATAAATAAGTG